CTCCTCAACAGATTGGAATTCACACTCACTAAAAATTATCTTTTCTATGAAAATTTGTGAGATGTGTTTGAGCTGACTGTTCCCTGCGTGGAAGGCTCATTGAGTTGAAATCGCGTGATTCCGGTCCATGCCTCATTCTCTCGGAGATAGGCATTGGAACCAACCCAGATGTCACTAGAAATAATTCGCTTCCCGGAGGAAAGATTAGCTATTGTAGTCCTCTCAACCCCTATAGAGCCAAACTCTACCGGACACTCACCTACGCCTATGGGAGTAAACCTTTCCCAACGAGGACTACGATGAACTCGCTCGATTACCCCTCGAGCTCTGTCTAGCCTCCAGAAATCTTGCTTTTCGTGACTGCTATGGAGACAGGCTTCTCCACGCTCCTCTGGGACTCCTTCTTCAGGTTCCCCTTTGACCCACCTCAGTTGCTGCCTCTTATCAGCCCGTTGTTTGAGAACCCGATCTTCATCGAACAGGGAATAGCGTCCTGTTCGCAGACATTCTCGCAATCGACTGGCGTCCATCGATTTCGTCAAACAGTCTGCAAGCATTGCCTGAGAAGCAACCCAGCGTAACCGACAGTTGTCCTGCATTCTCTGCCGAATGAGGAGACACTCAATTGTGGTCCTATGCTCCTCGCATTGTGGGGGAGCGGTCCTGGAGATAATATCATAAACAGACTTACAGTCCGTAACTGCGGCAGCTGTCGGTTCTGACTGAAGAGCTTCTTCGGGCCGATGCCACGCAACTTGATCATTTTTCAACCAAGCCCAAAGGATCCTAATCCACGAGAGCCTATCCACAGTATTGCTGAGAGCAATGGCTTCTGCTCCCAAAGTGCTACGAACTACCCGGGAGATCTTCTTCGAGGCCCAAGCCATAGGACAAACCACTGCAGTGTTGTTCTCCAAAATGGAGGCACTTGTGGAAAAGATCACAGTTCCCTGGTGGGCATGGTTCTTGGTGTTTGAAGCGAAGCTTGCGTCCGAGAAAGCACAAAACGTGAGCTCACTTTCTGCGATGGGAACGACCATGATTGAAACATGATGTTGCTTGGCTTCTTGCAGCACCCTATTGGCTTCTAAAAGATGAAAGACTTTTGCCTGGTTGACAGCTGATTGGAGTTCCCCTACTTTAGCACAAACATCAGCCCTTGTGTGAACGGCAGCGTATTGGAGACTTCCAATAAGTTGTCGTAACAGACGGCGCTCGGCCTCCGTCACTGGAGCATCGGGATGTTTCCTACGATCCCTAGGAACATTAATAGCATCGATACTCTCAATATAATCGGTCTGGTCCATCTCGATGCTCATATCATCCCACTGATGCAGACGGATTCCGGTGAAAACAAAACTCCCTTTTTCAAAGGATCCGAAACTGAAACGCTGTCGTAGCTTTTCCAGGGCTGCATGGAACACTGAATCTCCTCCACAGATGCCATCATCAACATGAATGCCAATGACACCATGACTTCGGGACTGACCGGTGGTATCTCTGGAGGATAGGGAAAAGAGACAGGGATCTAGGGGGCATTGCTGGAAATTCAGGTCGAGTAATGCTTTACGTAACTCCTGATACCAAAGATAGGGCGCATCTATTCTACCATAAGCCCCTCCCTTTAACTCACAATCGTCTTGGGGACCCATACCTAGCGCCTCCCTGATTTCACCCGGAGCCTGGATTCCCAGTAATCTCCCGTCCCCTTTGCCATGCAAAAATGCTGTGCTGATGTCGAAAGAACAGAGCTGCCATCGGTTGCTGGCTATCTTTTGAATCAGAAGCTGTCGGCCATCCTTCGTTAAGGTAGGGGCATCATTGGGAACCCAATCTATATCAGGATCCTCGAATCCAAGGATGACCAATCGAGCTTTAGCTTTGCGACCATCAGGATTTGCTGGGTCATTTGCTTCGGCTGTTTTCCATGTGTAGATCCAACGGCACCTCATAATATTCTTAGGGGGAATTTTACCCTTTACTATCCTACGAACCGTGCCATGGGACAGCCATGCGTTCACTTCTTTGTGCTTGGCTGCTGCGAATCGTTTCTGATCGCTCACAGTCAAATCGCGCAAGCGAACCTCGACCCGCTTTTTCCTACTTTCACTGGCCAAGAAAATCATGTCCTCGTCGACCGTTTGGGGAAGTTGCCATGTTTCGGGGGGAGTGACATCTATCTCCCAACACTGATCAACCACGCCAAACATAACATCCGAGGTTTCTTCAGAGCCCTGCATTTCGGTGTCCCCGAACTCGAGATCAGACATGTTATCATCAGGCACAGGAATGTTCTGGCTTGCCGCTTGATTTTCAAGCTGCTGTGGAGTCAAATCTGGTAACGGAAAATCAGGCGGCACTGATAAAATGTTCGGTCTTGTGGATTCTACAGTGGCTTCCTCACTATCCGGTTCGGGCTCAGGTAACGACCCTCCTTCAGACCGTTCTTCTAGGGGAGCCAACATGTCTTCGTCCGTCGGAGTTCCCTCATCTTCTAGGTCGAGGAACGAGGGGGCTTGCTTGAGCTTCTCCTTGAGATCTCGCCCTTGTTCAAGCGGGTGTCCTAGCGAGTCTTTCGGAAGTCTTGCCCATTCTCTAAGTGAGGCTGCACGCAATTGCTCAGGACTAGCTCGGATCAGGCGTCCAGCGTGACTTAGCCAGACCACCTTTTGTTTTTCAATTGCTATGATTTCAGCCGGACCATGCCATCTACCATGTTCTCGGCGAAGGTTGCCTCCACGTCTCTTCCAGTAAAGCACAAGGTCGCCCTTTTCCCAATCCTGTCGCAAAGGTCGAGTGCGTCTCAACAACGCACGTCTGAAACTGGAGCTGTTGTCGACATAGTGGAATGCACGCCGTGCACTTTCCCGGAGCCGCAGTCTCTCCAAGAAACGTTCACCTTCTGTCGTGGCGCTGTCCGCCAAGGCATGTGGGGCAGCGTTGCTATCTGATAGCAAAGAACCTGGGAGCCTCGGAGATATTCCTAGCACTGATTGTTGGGGCGTATAGCCGTCAGCTCGGCACAACGTATTCTTAGCGTGGAAGACCTGACGGAGTGCTGCCTGGAAATCCAGAGAGCTGTCGATTGCTTTCTCAAGGTCCATCTTACTTAACATCCCTTTTACGGTACTTCCATGGATCTCTGTTCTCCCCAGTTGCCAATGGGAATCACTTGCAGACATCTTTACATGAACGCCAGTCTCCTGCATGCGCACAGCAAAGGCGTCTGAAACAAACTCCCCTCCCGGATCTACATACACCTCCTGAGGATAGCCTGCCCAGTTGGCCCACACCGTTTCAAAGTGCTCCATTACCTCACTGGCACCACCCCTACACTCCGACCCTAAATGAAACAACGTGGACTCATCCAGAAAATGAACAAAGTGAAAATCATGCCCCTTAGCATTTCTCCATGTTACCAAATCCATCCCCACTTTGGTGTTAAATGCCAGATTTTCATGAATGGCGGAGGGCCGTGCGGCCGTAAAGCCTTTCCGAGACTCGGTGCACGCATCACATTGGTACTCCAAAGCTGCCTGTTGTACCCCCTTATCAGCTCCCCCGTGTCTAAGATACCTCATCATCTTTTGGGGATCCGGATGTCCTAGATTATGGTGGAGCTGTCTAAGATCACCCCTCTCTTCAGGAGATAGTTTGAGGAAAGCAGGTCCATGATTAGCTATTGGAGGAGGGCCCCACGCTATCTTACTTTCTGTAGGTTCGGGATCTACAGGGGTCATTGACACAGCACTACGTGTTCGAGAAGAGGTGTCACCTACAGGACTTGTCTCGGTATTTACCGGGACCTGTTCTGGCGGAACTCCAAACATGGTGAGCGCTATCCTTGCGGGTTTGCCAGCTCGAACCTGTTTGTATTTAGGTAGAACGGCCCAATGTTCAACGTTGTCATCGGCTTCGATTTCCCCATTATGCCTATTCATAACTACCGTGTAGCGATGGGTGACCTCTCTGGGGTCATAACTGCCTACGGGAATTCGAAGCCGATTTACCCCTTTGCAAGCTTCCGCATGATGGACTTTAAGGTTGGGCACCAGTTGCTGAATGCTCTCAATCAACTCATCTTCGGGGGCAATAACATGATTTCCTACCCGGGGGACCCTAGTATTAAGTTTTCTAAGCACGCCCTGCCATGTAGCCTCACTTTTACCATAGGACTCTTGTCGGGGGCTCTGCTTGTGAGTGTACCGACGACGGCGCTTGAGTGCCTGTTGTGTTAGGGTCTCAGAGGCCTCACGTTTATCATCGATATGAGCACATAGCTCCTCCCTTATCAACGGCTTTTCGGGGGATTTCTTCAGAATATACCGGGCTACGTTCTTAGCAAGTCCCTCTCGATACCTGCAATGCCGCCTATCCACTTGGGGATCACTGGGTATTTGGGGTTGGCATTGAAGATATCGATGGTCCAAAGCTTCGTGAAGTTCTACAGATGTAGTACGTATCATGGCTCGTTGGTTCAGAAAACAATTTCCGCGGAATCTGGGAGCTTTCGGGAACTTGCTTAAATTGAAGTCTGTCAAAAGGGTGCCAGCTAGCATCTCAGCAGCGCACTCGCTATCAACATCTTCGAAAATCCCTTCTGAAAACAAATGGAAATGCCCTCCCCGCTCAACCTGTTCAAAATAAAGCTCCGAACACAACTCAAGGCCCAAAATACGTACATCAGAACGCATCCCAACATCCCTGAAGTTGACCCAGACATGTGTTGGTTGCCATTCTTTGAGTGTTTTCCAGATGCCGCTGGACTTGCTGAACTGCCGAAGATCACGAGCCGTCAGTTCCACCTGACGACACTGGCCTCCATGAGCCGTAATAATTGGCTTAAGTAGCCCAACCCTGCCTATGTTGACTTCGAGACAAGATTGGCCATTGATCTTCGGGGTTGATACTGAAGGGAGAGACACATGCCTACGTCCCAGTTCGTGAACATCCTGAACACACTCCGCATGCAAGGCTTCAAGGGATTGCAACAGAAATGCTGTCTGATCAGGATCAAGCTTAGTTTCTGGGACTTTCGATTCAGTCACGGCTTCCCTCAGTTCTCTTGGGACTGTCGAGCTCGGTCCAAGTCTCGCTGGAGCACGGCCATCTGCGTCTCCAGTCGCTTGATGTACTCGGGATCCACATCCTCCTTCATCGGGATCACGGGGGTCTCGTCTGAGGCCACCAGGTCCCAAGAGTGATTGNNCTCTTGGGAACTTCCGGCATTGGTGTTCTCATGGATTCTTGTCCTTGTGAATGGTAAGTCCGCATCTTGGCCTGCGTCTTTGCATTGTTGACTGCCACCACAAAGCTCTGGAAGCTGCGAAGGGACCGATCGGTCACGGCCCGATTGGCCAAATAGCGAACGTATCCGGGATCTTGTTCTAGAACATCGCCAAACTGCTTGCCTCGATGCTTGCCGGTCTCCAATGTGAAGACGCTCCACTCTCCCAAGGTTCTCACTCCTGTCGGCTTTGCCACCGGCTTCACGGGAATCTCGAGATTGAGGTCTCCGTCCTCTG